CATATGACTAAATCCAACATGTGCTTAAATGTTGTAAGAACTGCATCTTGATATGGTTTTAGTTGTAGAGTTTTGGGGAATCATCTGTATTATCAGTGTTCATCACATCAAGTTCTATTTTGAAAATACGACTCACTAGTTGATAAGAGTTTTCCCAAATTGCTTAAAAGATTAATAAAATAATCAACTTAGCAGAGGGGAAGAAAAACCACAAACTATTCCTGTAAGGAAATCACTTTATTGCCTATACATGTGAATGAGCTGTTTTAATGCTCAGGTTCACTGCCTCCTCTGCATTTAATCTCTTCCCTTTTATGTCCTACTCTGAATTTTTTTAAAAGACTTTCAGGCTTTTATAAAATTAATTATACAAATCATTAGTATTAAAAAGGTAATATAATGGTTTCAAGAACAAGCTTCACAGACTATCTGCATATTTAATCATCTCTGCTAATAAATTTTTAATCACTCATTGAGTTCAGGTTCTTGTCTTGAAGCTTAACTTGATAACAAACCTAGCAACTGGTAGAACTAATTGGTACAGAGCAAGTGAATAATTTATAAGAGGAAAAAGCACTGGGTGTTCTGGAGGTGTGCAGAGACCACAAGTCACAGATATTTCTGGGAGGAAGCATGAAAACAGTGGCTGACTGCAGGAATTTCGTGATACACTGCTGACATCCAGAGGCCAACAGTCAATACTGTTCACATATGTGAGCCAGGCTGTAAAGCATGCTGTAAAGTCAGATTCATTAAGTTTTAAATATTCATGCATTTCATTAAAGTTAACATTAATTGCACTACCATACACATTGATTATGCATAGACCATAAGTGTTTAACCTCTGAAAGCTTGCAAGTATATTCAAGTAATGGGGTATGTCCTATCTTGGATGATTTCAGCTACAAAGTTGAAATTAGAAATGGAATGCATTACAGTGTGAGTACTAGCATAGTACTCTGAAATACCAGAACAGTCATAAAAATAATTGTTTTCTAATCAAACAGAAATGCTGATGTAAGCTGTAAATTGCTTTGTCTTTTTGTAAACTAATTAAATAAAGGTAACAAAAATTACGTATAAGATTTCTTACAGAGAAATGCTAGATTGATTTGCAAGCCACAGCTAATAAATAGGTTTCAACAGTTAAAACTAATTGATAAATGAGTGGCTTCTGTTTAGACAAAGATGAGTAGCTTTTAAACAACAGCAAAAAAAGGCTCTTCTCTTGAAATAAGCTGATTTTAACTTAAAAGGAGATACTGCAAGCCCACTATGGAATAATTCTACCCCCAGGGAAGCACAAAATGCTACAATTCTTAAACCAGGCTGTAACAGACAACATTTGACAGAAATTCAATTATCCTTGCAAGATCCCACTTGTAGTTAGTTACATACATAATCCTCTTTTATTTAATGGGTTAAAGCTCTCCTTCAAAACATTTAGTTGGATGACTCGAAGACTCACTACATTTCAAAAAATTCATCAAGTGACTTAATAAGATTGTAAAGTAAAAACACTCAGAAGTTTAAAAATTTCACTTAATGCTGCCCCTGCAACCTTAATTCCGTCCATGTACGTATACGCGTTATGAAACAGCAGTGAATTAACTTTTAATCTCCTTTGAGCCAAGAAGATTTTTAGATTGGAAACCAAGGCACAAAGGGCATGCCAACAAATACAATGCTGAGCTTTAGCACAATCTCTGCACTAGCTCACATCTCGCAGAGCATACCCCTGCAGGGCTAATTACCCCAGATAGCAAGCGAGGCTTGTGCACTTATAGTGCTTTCAGTTCCTCTACATGGCAAGCTCAGTTCTCTCTTCCTGGCAGTGCACTACACATAAACACTGTGAGAAGCATGAAATTTTAAATTTGAAGAAAACAAGAAGAGTTTTCCAAACACTGTGCTTCATACCTAGGTCTTTTGGCATCAAGTTAAAAACATATCATTTAAGTATTAAAAAACCTTCTGCAAATAACACCAGTTTCTATTCTGTTGTTTGGGGTTTTTTTGGGTTTCGTTTTTCCTTAAAAAGCAGTCCATAAACATTCTGTGAGGTAGATATAAAATTGTCCACATTTAGTAGAGAAGCAAATGTTGGAGACAGATAGACTGGCTTGCCCAAAATAGTACTGATTTCTTCCTGAGCTGTTAACAGCTCCTGATTAGCCAATTCTCTTTGTGAAGGTGGGCACCAAAGTGTAGTATTCCTAATTAGAAGTGACAATTAACACACTGAAATTCTGTCTAAATAGCATTGCCTACACCCCCAAAGAACTTTATGGTCAGACACATCCTGGCTGATCTCATAGAAATTCCTTGCTGTTTTGTTCTGACTGCTGGCAAGCAAGGATCTTCAAAGTCATATATCAACAACTTGTACCAGTTAGCATATCTGGAAGAAGTCTGGGATATCAGAATATTTGAGTTTTGACAGGTGGTGTTTGGTTCTTTGCTTTTACACATTAAGACTACCTCCTTCATGTTTGCTTCTTGGGTAATATTTAAACAAGGAGGTGGCCTGTGAAGTCATTTAAACACCAAACTAGATTTTATTAGTTTTACTGGTTTGTTTTTTTTCTGGCATAGTCACAAACAACAACAGAGTCCATGAAAGGTATACACATCATATAAAAGATATTACGTATTCCCAGCAACATTTCAGTTTAGATTTTAATCAAGAGAGCTCTCAAAATGCAGGAGGAAATGCTTTGCAGTATAAGAAAGTTTTGAATACTTGACAGCTCAAATGTTCAAATCCCATGCTCATTAAGCAATACTTGATTTTACTTGGGTTATTATTATTATTATTATTATTATTATTATTTTGGTTTCATTTTGTTTTTTGGTCTTTTTCAATTTCACTTGTGAAATAAAAACTGAAAAAGCAGGCAAAGCTTTTTGATGGTTGATGTCTCTCCACCATGTGATATAATCCCTACATTCTTTTTTTTTTTCTGATAGGTCCAAAGGTGACAGGTACTCACTCACTAAGCAGTTGGCTTCTCTGCCAAGCATGAACACATAAATACAAATAAAAATTACAGCAAAGCTTTCACATGGCCAAATAGAAATGGACTACAATAGACAATAGACATTTGTCAAGAGATGATTTAAAAAAGGGATGCAGAGTATATTTCTCCTTATTCTACACCAACATCTGAAACAAAAATACCTGAGAAGTAACCCCATTATTAAACCAAACCTGAAGAGGTTTTAATTAAAATTATTTTTTAAGTACAATTTGAAATTATGTTTGAGGTTTAAGAGTTAAATTTATTAGACTGTAAAGATTTTTACAAAGCTTTCCCAATGTAATGAGCTTAGGCACCACATATGTTGCATCTTTGGTACACATTAGGAAGAGTTGCTTTTTTAATGAGCTTTAAAAACTACATTTGCATACCAGAGGAAAAGGTCAGTGATGTGTGGATCAAGTCGGTAAATTAAGTATCACAGTATTATGTTATTACGCTTGCCTTCCAGAGACACACAATAACAAAACCACAGGCTACAGTTACCACACTGTTCTAATGCCGGCACGTCCGTGCCCTTGTCAGCTGCCACGTCCCGCACCGCTGCGCCTCGGGCTCCATCTCCCGCCCCGGCCCCCTTTACCTTCTCCCCACCTCCTCCCGCAGCCGAGCAGCTGCTGCGGCTGGCACTCATGGACTCAGGCAAGCACGGGAAGGGGGAGCTGGATTCAGTCTGATGGCCCATCTTCAAACACTGATTTTACTCCAGCCTTGACGCTTTGTAAAGATACCCAGGACGGTGTCCTGAATTCTCTTAATGAGATCAAATCTCTCGGACAGCAAAGCATCAGGATGGGGATGCCTCCTTCCCAAGTCCCATTCCACTTCAGTTTTTGTTCAATGATACAACTCTCTTTCAAAACACAAATACCAAAATTAATTCTAATGCTGTGGTGCAAAATTTGACATGGTCAACTAGACCAGTTCTTTTTAGCTGGAATGTTAGATACTTCGTAATCTGTAAAGACTGCTTAACTGGTAGCTAAACTGACATTTTTATTTTATAATAAATAATAAAATAATCTAGGAACTGACTGCAAATACACTTTCATGAGTTTTCAGCAACTGGATCAGTCCACTGGATTTACCTTTATTTGTAAGTATTGTAAATTATTGATAATTTACAACTATTATAACATTACTTTTCTTTTTTAAGGGCAATTGCAATTGATTACTTCCTCAACTGTGCAGATCCACAGTACTTAACAGGTCTTTCTGCCTCTCTTTGTGTCAGAGATTATAGGTATACACTAAAGGACATTATGCACTACACAATAATTATGGATGTTCATACATCTCACAGCCAAGTAAGTGACAGTCCAGCTGTGTATGAAGATGTAGATTTAGTCATTATATTAAAAAAAAATCGTTTAAAATATTACAATAAGAAGAGCACAAAACAACTGAGCAGTTATAAGTGGTTTTAATGATTTTTCACTTTTTGGATATGACAATCCTCGAAGTAGCATTCAAAAATATAGTGCAAAATATTTATTCATTTTATTTACAAATAAAATGTGTAGTTCAGCTTCTGATCCTTGCCACAGTAAATGTTATTCTTTTATGTGATGAACAGAAATTATGAGAAACACTTGTAGAGAAAAAAGTTAATTTTAAACCTTAGAACAAAGATCTTCCTTCAGTTATATTTTTGTAGGAGTTACACAATATTTTTCAAAACTGTTTTCAGATGAAAAGAAAACCCAGAAAGTCCAAGACAACACTAAAGAATTACATAGGAAAGAATGGTTTTCAAAACCATAAAGTTAATTTTGCTGTGACAATCACAAAGCAAAGTTCTTATCTACATAGAATATAAATTTTTTTTTTCAGCTTAAACATAGAATCTTTACAATGTAATGGGTTTCCTCCCCCCTTTTTGCTATACAAATTGCCTTTTGAGGGGAAAAAGTATACTAGTATCTTCCTTTCCCTCTGATGAAACAACAAATGCTTTGGTTAAAGAGCAATCCGTGCACAATAGTGTTTTAACTTGCAAGGCAGAACTCCTTTATTAAGTTGATAGAATTCCACTAGCTGGATGAGATCAGTAAATCTGGTATGACCATCATCGAGGGTATAGAATAGCTTCCCATCATCTTCCAACTGTAAAAATGGAAAAACAAGTTTTAATAAAATCCTCTTTTGCTATGGTTTTTTTTGGTTTTTTTTTTTTTTTCTGTCTGGAATACTTGTTTGAAAAGTGTTCTTACAGACCAACACATTCATAATCTTACAACTACTGTGAGCAGAAAAAATACAGTGATCATTTATACATCATTAAAATCTAAAGAAAACATTTTAAGATTTTTTTTTTAAAAGACCAATAGGAAAACAATGTACTATTTCACTTCAAGTACACACCTAAAAGGAAAGAACACTTTAGTATAGGAATACTCATTCTGCACTAACAATACTACTTCATGCCTTTGCTTTGGAATTATAGCTGGGGTTAATACCAGCCCCTGAGTTTTTACAGAGTGACATGAAGCAATCGAGTTTGAAGTTACTCATGGATTTCACCCTTTGCTCCATTCACTTCCATGATTTTCTATCACTTCCGTAAGGAGGGATGAGGCCACACACCAGTGCAGTGGGGTGCTGGATAGTATTAGCTCCACAAAAGACACTACCCCATTGCAAGAGTGCCATGCTTGCTCTAGCAGGTCTTTGTTGTAGGGGGAAGAATTGCTGCAGCTCCAAATATGCATTAGCACAGATACAGAAGAGAAAGAAGAAACTTCAACAGATACCTTGAAAGATTCCTTTTGACTTTAAGATGCTTAAAAATTTGCAATCACTGTTTCCCTCTAAGTTACTGAATGTTAACTCTTGCACAATTTATTGCACTGCTGACTATATAATTTCTTGATTTAGTTCCTCTACTGGTGATATGTCTAATATCAAGAGGATTTGTGACATAGTGACTAATTGGTATTCATGTAAATACGGGGTGAAAAAATTTATTCAAACTATTTTTAAAAAGAAAAGGGAAAAAAGATACTTTACAAGACTGAAAGAGTAATGAACAGAGGATCCTGAAGTAGGGCTAGCACGGAGTAGCAGATTATGTGCTAGGGAAAGATGCAACTATCCTACTTGAATACAGGGGAAGGGAGAAGATATAATTAGCTGTCTTACCTGTAATTAAGAAGTTTTATCTGAAGCAGCTGTTGAACTGCTTATGACTCCTGGTTACTCTACCCCTTTCTATCATGACTGGAAGTAGTTTGTAATTTCTTTATTCTCAGACTTTGGTCAAACCAGGTCAAACTCTGCTACTTAAGGAATTACCAGTGTGAGAATGTGTGAACTCCTGTGCTCCAGCCAAAAACCTGAAAATGGATTATCATTCATTGGACTTTCTTTATGCATGCAATTTTCCTGCCAACACACTGCAGGCAAGGAGAGTTAACAATTCAAATGTCTGTTATCCTCCTAACAAGTTAATTCCAAACTTTGAAATGAATACCAGACAGATTGCTAATTCTCAAGCTATCAATATTTTGCAAAGTAAAAACTCATATCAAAGTTCTGTTGCTGAAGAACCTAGCATCTTTTGCAAGCTAAGAAGGCTGTTATGAGAAAACATTTATTAAAAAAGACAGTCCCAGAACTGTGTATCAACTCTTCATCTTTCATAGGGATGAAATTTCAGGATAGAATCCATTGAAGTGAACTTGCATCAGCTCAGAGAGTAAAGGCTGAAAAATACCTTTACACTAACAAGCTCTCCAATTTTCACAGTACAGGATTCCAAATGTAACCCAAAGGTTTCCTTCTGAACCTTTTACAACCAATTCCCAACTACCCGCCTGCAATACCTGTTGCACAGGTTGCCAATGTTAACACAAGGCACCTGTTTACATGGGTGAGGTATGAACTACCAGGCTGCATACCCTAGCTAAAAGGAGACATTTTTAAGTGCAGCATAATCTGAAGCAACCTAAAATACAAGAAAAAAATTAATTTAGAGATTGGATTGTTTTTACCTTGCAAAAAGACTTTGTAAATTACATTTATTTGTTTACATTTAGTAAGAAAGTTTGCCTTTACAATGGCCGGAATCAGGAAAGTGTTTAGACTAGCAGAATTTGAAATTCAAAGAGGTAACCTTGATCTTCAACTAATAAGCTATGAATTTACTACAGTAATATAAAATGCCTTGTTTCTTAGAAAATGATCGCTTAATTTAGATCATCAGCAACTGGAACCAAAACCCTTCCTCCCTTAAACAACAATTTCCTGAAATCTTTAAATACCACCATTCTAGCAAAAACAGAGCATGTTTAAGTCAGGGTATTGAGAGTGCAATGAGGGTACTGAACGTAACCAGAAACTGACAGAAAGAAACTGGAATATGCCAATATTTGGGGGACAACAGCTTCCATGCTGACATACTCTCTCTGGACTGAGCTGTTCTCATCACAATTTATTTTTTTCTGGCTACTATCATTGGAGAAATTGCTTTACTTAAAAAACAATTCAAAAACATTTCCTTCAAGTAAGTCAAGTTTTGCAATGAAGTGATACAGGTCTTCTCGATGAACAGTATGGGAAATGTGACCCAAGTCTGCTGACAACTATATCAAAACTAAGAATTCCTGGTTCCTCCAAAGATCCCACTACATGAGAGCAAGGTTTTAGCACATTCTTATGAAGGGAAGAAGAGAATCATCCATCTCAGAGGAAACTGAAGATGACTCCAGCTACACCTGTGTGTAGAGAAGAGAGGGTCTGTTTCCTGATACAGAAAGGGCAAGTGGTCTCTTAAATTTGAGAGTTAAATGACATCTCAATGAACTAGAATCATACACTTTTTGAATGGGGTTTAGAAGGTTTTCTAAACCACGCAACAATTACACCAAAGTAAATACTAGAACTGACTACAGCCAATGAATGCACAAAGATCTTACATCTGGGATTCTTATCAAGGATTATATGTTGATGATCCCATGGGATCCAGTGCATAACTATCACTTTTGGATGAAGGAATCCTCCATATTCTGTACCTAAACACAACAAAATCCTGGACAATAATCCGATCAACTTTCCTCCTCTCAAACAATGTTTCAGTTTTATTCTACATGAACTTTTTTTTAGTAGAGGATATCAGCTACAACCCCTAGGTAAGGCTTACAGAAATTTGGTGAATGATCAGAGAGAATCAACAGACAAAGACCAAAAAAAAAATGGTGCCACTTGACTAATTTCTACTGAGAAACAGCAGAATCTTCTAGAAACATCAGCAGGAAGATACATGGAAGCTAGAATATTATGTAGACTGGAAGAAAGGTTCTTGTAAAGAAAGATAAAAAAGCTCTGGGTTTGCTCAGTTATGTCAAGCATTTGTGGCCAAAACACAAAATGATCAAGTATTTATCAACTCAAGAGATGCAGCATGTAAAGAAATCCACATAAATCACCTCGTGAGAGAGTGGAAGCAATGGGGATGGCTAACCATTCTGGCAGGATAACTGGACAGTATGTTCAATGAAAACTAACAGAAATATTATTTCAGCTTAGTAACTTCCAGCTTATCTATAAAGCATCTGGAATAAATAATGATATTTTTTTCATTCCCCTGAAGAAGACCTGTACATGAATATACCTCAGTAACAACAAGAGAGGTCAACAAAATATTTCTGACTACAAATATTGAAACTATCCTTAAGACTCAGTGAGATACGGACACATGATGGAGGCAGTCCAAAACAGATGACTTAGAAATTGTGTACATACTGAAAAGTAAAAGGAAACATGAACTCTATTAATACATTATTTTCATGCCATCAGAGTTGCTTCTATTCCAGTTGAAACAAATTTGTTTAGTTTTTCAATAAACTTTTTAGGATTTCATAATACTAGTCAAGCTTTAGAACAAATCAAACAGTAAAGCTCAAAAATGTTCAACTCCACTAAAGAATACTAATTATAATTAGTGATACAGGTATGATGTTTACATCTCCCCAAAACAGCAAAAGAAGAAAAAAATCCATCCATATTCTACCACAGTTCTTCAATTTTTTGGTTTCACAACTCCATATATAAACTGAAAAAACTTACTTACTGGTACAATTTGAAAATGTTTTATTTTTAATCCATGACTCAGTGACAATACAAATGTTTTGGGGTTACTTTGGCTATCACGTACCAGGAATACCCTAAAAGAGACCAAAAAATTTCAAAGTAAGAACATTTGAAATCCTTTTACAAACATCCAGTTAAAACTGTTCTAAATTCATTACAGCAAGTATTAGTGAAAAGCATAAATAATATCAATTATGTAAGTTAGGCTTTTAATCAGTATTTCTTTGCCAATGTGTCACTGGGAATACTTTCTCTTAAGTTCTTCTTCACCTTGTCTATTATGTGAAAAACATGCATTCTCGGAATAAATGACACTGTAGGCGTTAGTTTTTACACTGCATAGAATTACAATACATTTCTTCAGACAGAAAAGCACCCTCAAAGTTTGTGCTTTGAACGAAATTTTTCTTTGGACTCTGACTAGAGAAAACTTGAATATTCTAAATCACAAGCATTATAAGTAAAATTCAAAAGGTAGTTCAACAGCAATTTTACAGAAAAGGTAATGCAAGGCACACCAGAATGTTCTTCACATCTGGCCAATCCTCATAAATGCACTCTCATTTCTGCACAGCAGCAAAATTCCCAACAAGACAGAGCTACACTCTGCTTGCTTTATGGAATGATTATTCAAATCACGACACTCTGAATGGCCAACAGTGCAATTAAATTTCACTGGTAACTTATTCCAAGCAGAACATGGACAAACATAACTTTGCCATAGTCCTGGTAGAATAATTTGGTAAAGACAAAGGATGATTACCAGCATGAGGCAGTTTTCATTGAATCACCTGGCTTGGAATATTGGTAGAGAACAGTTTGGAGGACAGGGAAGGAGCTGGTAGATAGCTCTGGAGTGGAGCGAGTCTGAACTGCTTGTAGTGGGCAGGTCTGGAACAGGTGTAGCTGACCAATGCACCAAAGAAGGGAAATGGAGGGACAGCCACTGGCCAGCATGCTCCTCTTTCAGGGCAGAAAAGAAATGGGCAAAATGGACTTGCAGGTTTCAACCGAGCGAGCATTAGTGACCACCTAATAGTAAGTGTTTGCCCCCACGCACACCAGAAATGACAGCCCAGGTATTACATGAAAAGAAAGTATTTCAAAGGGGAAAAAAAACAAAAAACAAACCAGCCAGAGGTTTGCAGTGGATTTTCACTGACTTCCAGCATGGATTCCAAGTACTAATTTCATTCTCAAAGTTTTTAAGACTTCTATTTTTACATAGTAAGAAAATTCCTGGCATTAAGAAGTCTGGAGTCCACACTCATTACCCTTTTCTGTCAAAATGCCTGTGCAGTGTGGCTGGGAGCCCCGTTACTGCCGCAGTTCCTCCCGAGGGCTGCTGCCGGCTCGGCCCGGCCCGGCCCGGCCAGCGGGAGCGCCGGCAGCGCGGGCTGCGCTCAAACCGGCTCGCTCCCACCACCTAGCGGGCTCCCACCCTCCCGGGACACCACCGACACACTAACTTCGTGTTTTATGTTTGTCATCAATGGCTGGCACTTCCTTTTTTTTTTTTTTTTTTTTTTTTTTTTTTTCAGAAAAATGACGCTGTAGGAATGTGCCATTTTGTTGATATCCAAAATGAGGTCTCTATGCCCAGTTACTAGGATCCACCTTAAATGATACACAATGTAAGCAACTTTTATTGGTTCTTATTCATCAGTTCTTTTACAGTACATTTTCTTATTTCTTTCCTAGTTTTATCACAAATACAAGGAACATTTCTTCTCCTTCAGATAAAAAGATCTTCATTATTTCCTAAAATAATCACAATTACCTACTTTACCTACTTTAGTTGTCAAAGAACCTTTAAAATTTTTGTTATGATGAAAGGACTGTAGTTCACAGAATCTCAGAAATGTTAGCTGGAAAGAGCTTTTTAGACATGCTGGATGACTCCAGTCAACTTCTCCCTCATGAACTTCTCTAAATGACGAGCTGGACCTTTTCACGGGCCTTTTGGTAATGCTCTTATCCCTTTCATCAACCATTTATCACTGAAAAGTCTTCAAATATACTTTAGGGGGTAAAATACAAAATCTACAATATTACCATGTGAACTTTTTTAAGAAAGTTGGTTTAACACCAGATCCAAAAGCTTTCTTCTTTCATAGCATGCTTTAAGATGGTTGTTGTCCCTAATTTGGTTATCCAAATACTAAAACTACTGTGGTTAGTTTATATAACTGCCTCCTTGTCTTCTAAAAGCCATCATGAAAAACATGTTTGTTGGTACATACAGTATTACAGAAGCCCAACTCCTTTGTCATATACGCATGAGAACTCCTTGCTCCGGATCACTAAGAAAGGGTCAATATGGATTATTTCTCTGCCCTCACTCCCAGAAACTAAAATTTATTTTTCTCATTAAAGATGGCTGCATTTCTGGTGATAATTCATGCTTTCAGCTCATCAAAATGATGTCACATGATGTCATGTGTTCATTACTTCACTGTAACTCCTGAATAGGTATCTGACAGCACACGAGCACTCCTACTATCAGAGTTCTAAATAATTCTAGATAGTCTACACGAAAGTTTCATCCTCCTCAAAATCCCACTGCACAGCTATGAATGGCTCCAAGAATATAACATAAACAACACTGTACTAAACCAATACTAGCAAGATATTCACTTTTGCATTTCAGTGTGTGTGCAAGAAATACACTGAAAGATGCATCAGGCCTAGACTGACATCCTGTTCAGAAATATATGTTGGACATTCATCCCCATGTCCTGTCTCACTCTTCTAACAAGTGCAAAAATAAATGTAAAGCACAGAACCAGCTTCAAGATGATAAGCCAGGATTAAAAACAAGACCCCAGAAATTAAAAAAAAAAAACATACAAAAAAAACCCCAAAAGTGGAAGTCCAATTAAACATCCCTGTGCTGCGTTTGTTTCCCTTTCCTTCCCTTCACATTTTTTTTTTCCTGGAGACCTTTCTGTAGATGCAGAAAACAATGTTACAACATACTTAATCTAAAACTGAAAGAATTTAACCACCAATCTGATGATCGAGGTACCTAACTGGAAACAGACTCAAAGAAACTGAGTTTCTTATGGAATTATTCACTGAATGAAGGAGGCCCAAGTTTAAATTTAATACAGGACTAAGGATAAAATTGGAGGAATGAAAAGCACGAGATTTTGAACATAAAATGCCTACTTGCTTTGTCATTTTTTAAATTAGTATTTAGATGAAATATTTAAAAAATTAAAGTATTATGCCAATATTTATTGTTTACTATTAAAGGATGACACAATTTTTAGTCAATTCATGAGGAAAAAAAGCATACTTTTTTTCAATGTCTGTCCCAGCACAGTTCATCTTAGAATACTGTTTTCAAGCTTTCTTTCACTCTTTCATCAGTAATAGAGATAAAAAAGACAGTGGTGCTAAGGCTGACAGCTCCAGAGAATCCTGTGCAAGGACACAGCTCTAGTGCTTGGCTCTGAATGGACATAAGTAATCAGTCAGTGACAGAATCTAAGTCCTAGATCACCACTTCATGGTTTCCAAATGATATAAATACAAACCAACAGATCCCCAGATAGCCCTACATAAAGGAAGTTTCATTCCTATTAGGCAAGTGCAAACTCCTTATTCCATCTCCCCCCAGTAAGAGGCAGGTGAAAATAAGAGTTGTTGGCTAGAAACGTGTCTCAGAGAAGCTATGTAAAGGATTAACTTACCCATCTACAAGTCCATGCTGCAAAATAAGTCTCTGAGCCTCCTCTCTGGAGATTTTATGATGAAACCATGACTGAGATCTGTGTATAGCTGTAGAAAAAAAGATCAGTGAAAAAAACATTTTCCCTTTATTGAAAGAAGCAGTTATTGTATTTCTCTGGCAAGGAATTAACTCACACATACCCATGTTAGACATAGCAATAGGACTACCATGTGAGTTGAGTCGGAGACACCCTCTCCTCTGTATGAGAGAGAAGCAAAAACATGACTTCAAGGCTCTTTTGTTAAAAAAAAAAACAACCAAACAAACAAAAAAACCCCCCACCAAAACAGAAAATACTCTTCTGATAAATCAAAGGTATTTATACCCGCCACGCTAATCCTTCTTCAACTGCAACTGAAAGGGCTTCTGTTGGATTTTCTATAATTCTGCTTCTGTGTCCTGAGAAATCCATTGCTACTAAAGAATTTTCTGAAATGCTTCTCTGCAACAAAGAAAAATAAATTTAGTTCACTCACTTTTTAAAAGATTCATCATTTAAAAGCAAGCTTCTGAGAAAACATTATGTTTTGTAAGTGATATTTCAAGTATTGGCAGTGTTTCTCATCAGAGCCAAACTCATTTTACCCTAGGGAGCACTTACAATTCCAGTATGCTGCTGCAAAGCTCAATTTTACTGTCTGGCAGGACAGACCATCTTTTTGCATTACTGCAATGGATGACAAATACATCACTTTACCATAAACTGTATTTACATTTTTAACTATAACTAGCCCTTTCCATGTCAAAACAAGTCAGGAAACTGTTATTAAGATGTCCAAGTAATAGGGAAAAAAAGGTAAAATACAAAATTATTATACATCATGATCCAATTAAAAAATATTCAAAATATTTCATTAGAAATATGTCAGCTTTATATCTTTGCTATATAAATTTCCATTCAGTTTACCATATTTAAGCATTGAAAACAGCAATTTCTATGGAGTATAACTTCTATTTTAATACATCCCTTCTAACTCTAATAACAGACTCAATACTTGCAGCATCTGTTATAAAAAAATGCCTGTGAAGATCAATTTTGTAAAACTGAATAAGAACATTGAGGTTTGACAAAACAGTCCTAAAAATCACCAAAATGTTTCTCAGAAACCAAGGTTTACAAAATCAGGTTTTATAAGAATTGTGACGGCTCAGATGTTAGCAGGCACTGGAATATCTAATAAATAAAAGAGCATTGCAACACTCTGTAAGTTAAAGCAACATCTGGACATAAGAGGCCCAGCTTTCTGTAGGGTTAGCAAAGCTTCCCAGTCCAAAACCAGAGCAGCTCTGGGTTTTTGGGCTTTTTGGTTTTGGTTTTTTGGTTTTTTTTTGCTTGGTTACAAGCATGAATATAGCTAAAAATGGAAGACAGCAATTCTGTAGTTCACTGTAATTTTTGACACTGTAGACTAAGGTCTATCTGAGTAACTGTAACCTGTAAAGAACTTGGCAAAAATAAAAAGGGCAAATTAAGAGAAAATGTTTGCCTCTAGCAGGGTGGAGGGATATCCTTGTAGCTGACATGGTTGAGAAATGAAGGAATGTGAAACGTGGAAGTGGCTTCCTTGTGAAGTACATTCATTAGCGTGTGCACTTAATCGCGATTATTCAATTTGCTGTTTTTTTCATGAATTATACACGAGTTGAAAAACAGTGCCATTGTTAGCAGTGGGGATAGCTTCTGCCTGTTAGAAGCTATGGGAACCAAAATGCACAGAACAGTGAAAGAGGAGAGAATCAGTAGTGGCTCCCTGATCCATCATAAGAGCAGCAGCTGGCTATTGCAGTAGCTTCACGTAACACAAACTAAGGCACAGGCAGCGTATTAAGCACATGCTTAATAAGCCATGCTTATTAGCAAAATCACTGAAAACTACTTTTGTGAATACCTGTGATAGCAAATGCATTTTTTAGGCATTTTATCAGCAAGAACTACAATAAAAGCTAAAAAAAAAAAATTCACCATAAAATCATTGTCACAGATCTCATCAATAAGCAATTTTTATCCAATTTAGCCAAAAACAAAACACAAGAGGGATATAAATCATCCATGAAAAAGTCTGAAACCAAATGACTCATAATGAGCTGGGATAATGTAAAATATTAAGAAATGGACAACCTCATCCAATCCCAACTATCCGACTGAGAAGATGGACATGATATCTTGTATAGGCCGTTTTTCCTCCAAAACAGGGCAGACCATCTGCCTAATTATGGTTTTCCTCCAAAGTCCAGTCAGTATTACACCAGCTCAAATTCATCTCAAGTACTTAATATTTTATATTTTTTTAAAAATTAAAAGAGGAAATATACCAAAAAGGATTTGTTACAACCTACTTATTCATCAGCATGTGTAACCTTAAACACTTTGCTTCTCTTTTAATGCATTTATGGTCCTGCTGCTTTGCTTTCCATTCAACAGTAAAAAGCCAATGAACTCCCAAAATACTGAAGATTTTACAAAGAGAAAGCCTTTTAACTCTCTTGTTCTAAGTAAGGAAATTAATTAATTGGCTCTCTAGTCAACCCTGGCAGCCCTAAATATTTTGGCAAGCACTGGCACATGCAAGGTTTTGAAGGAGCGGGTCAGCAGTGTAACTGACACAAGTTACTTGAAAAGAGCACAATGGCAGAAACATGTATTTATTCATGGAGCTACTGTGGGACATACCATAGGTGTTATATTCAAAGGGCTGCAGCCACTTCTACCTTGATATGGTTGCATGTAATTCTGATACAGCTGCATCCCATACTAAAACCAGAAAATAACATGGTTAGCATTTTAAATTATAAACCTAAGCCAAGTAAGGTTTTTTCCAGATGAAAAAGATAGCACACGCTTTTTTTTTACCATTAAAAACCAGGGACAAAAGCTGTTAGGCTAAGGAAATGTACATCATCACTGTTGCTGCTGCCTTTATAAATGTACACTTTGCATTAAATACTACCCATTTAATACACCAACTGGCCTGTTTCTATTTTGCCACAAACAGTCACATTTTAAAAACATTTAAGTTCCCTTGTTGTTGCTTTGTTCAACATTACTCAGTGAATTCAACATGGTTACACAGAAGCATATGCTTAATGTTAAATATTTTCAGGACTGAGACATCATTCCATCCCTTAAAATGATTCCAGGATTTGAACTCTCTCTTCTTGTGGTGATGAAAAAAAAAATATTTCAAAGTACAAAACTGATACTGCTATTGCATGGGAACCTAAAATGATGTTACCTCTCTACTCACAGCATCAATATATCACAATGCACACTTAAGCAAGTTAACTTCACACAGAAAAATTACCTTGAGTAACCTAATTGCTGTCATCCAACAGGTCCTACTTTGTTCATCATCTGCACAGAGCTGTTTCAGGTCTCTGGTTCCTCCTGATTTGTTAGGCTAGAAGGCCACAGCACATTTTTTTAGCATTAAAGCATATCTTGAAGATAATACCTGTTGAAATAAAAGCCACTAATTCTCCTATTTTATAACAGACAGCTGAATATTGCTTTCAAAGCCTTAAAGAAACTTAAGCTTACCTAAAAATTGTGGCTTGCTTTAATATGTATCAGAATAATAAGCTTGTACCTTAAAGCAGAATCCATAGTTTGTTGGTGCTCCAGAAATCTTTTTGCCTGTTAAAGACATGTACATATCACTATTGCTGAATTCACAGAAAAACTGCAGATGCCTTGGCTCCTAAAAAGAAAGTAATGTAATACAGTTAGACTACTTTTAGCCAGCCTCTCCAGATAAGAAACTTGGAAGAATACAGCAGTTATCCTGTTCCAAACAGACTTACAAAGTGCAGTTTTAAACATGACATCATGAAATCTAAAAAGAGGCAACTCAATATTCATTTCATAATGCAGAGGAAAGAGAAATCAAATCAGTTAAAGAGTTTATTCTTCCAGAGGGGAAAAAAACCCCAGACTACAAGTTACATAACTTCTGAGAAAACTTCCACTAGTTTCAAGCAATAATAAAATTCGAGTAGGAGGCAAGTTTTGAGAGCAGTATGCATTTCAAACATCAAAACAAAATAAACTTTCATAAACTGAAAAACAACATACTGTTATAATTATTGCCCAGTACCATTTCTAACCATTATCTCTACCCACTAAGTTAATTATGTCAAGGAAGCAAACAAAAGAAATTTGCCAAAGGATACAAACCAGCTCAATGAAAACTTTGGTCGGTAATGACAGAAAATCCAAAACATGAATAAACATTGGTTTGAGTAGTTTATGTAAAAGGTTTCTCAACTCCAATGTTTAATATGATAAGGCTTAAAGTACCACTGCCAAAAATCTGAATTGGTAACATGAAAATCTGTCCAGTGACAAATGCTGAGAATTTCCAAATTTATTTTGGAGCAACTATTATTTTATATAATTAATTACTATATCCACTTTTCAGAACATCTACTTATACTTCAGAAATTTAACTAGTATTTGAAAATTTGTTTTAACAGGGTACTCTGTAATGAGAAATATCATCCAGAATGAAGCAAACTTATCAGGAAAAAAGAAACCAGAGTTCCTAAGACAACATCTTCCCAGTTTTGTGTCTCTATATTTCTCTAGATTTTATCTATAATAACTACATTTTGTTCCTTTTTTTATCACTATAAGTTTAATCATTTGGTTATAAATTTTGGTTGTTATTATTACAACAAATGATAAATACATACATATTTGCTCTGACTTCATAGTTCTTGCTCTCTCTCTTCTTTTTTTCCTCCCTTACCTTAGATGTACCTTTAGTGGAAAAATAAAGGCCAGATCTTCTCAAAAGAAAGTACAATTTTTTCCATGATTTCTTCCCCTGCTCCTTTGCATGCAAATAACCATGAATCTCAGGATATGTGCTGGAGCTAAGGAACATCTGAAAGAAAGTATTAGACATGCATTTTTCTTTTCCTCAGAAATCAGCTTTGTGTTTCATTAACTCAGGGCTAAGGGGAATAACTCCTAAATACACTATCACACCAGAGTAATTCAGTTATGATCACGTCTAATCCCATCAACAGCACCTCTCATTTAAGGCATGTAAGAATGTTACATAACTCCAAGGTATGCTAAGCAAGTTACATATTTATATGGAACCATATGGTTTGAAATGAGAGCATTACTTCTGCAATATGTGAACTTCTGCAACTAAACCAGTGTAAGAAGTACTGATCCCATGCCTCAGACCCTATTTATATAAAACTGCTAATCAGTGTTAACAACAGAAGAAAAAAATTATGTCCCTCCCCTCACCCACCACGTTACAAATTAAATTACCTGAGTTAAAATTAATTCAGCAAACCACAAAATCTGAGTTACAAAACCATGAAGGTCAGGCAGATATTAGCATTTTTGAAAGGAGGGAATAAAGGGCTCTGCACCTGAAAGGTGCTTAAGGAGGAGCTTTAGTTGAACCAAAACCAGAGAGACTGGGCCAGTCCCCAAGACAGCTCCTGCCTCTACTCAGGATATTCAGTAACTTCTCTTCAGCCATTTCATCAGACACTGTCAGAGCACAACACAGCTCTTATCTTGCTGAGGCTTTGACAGTTCTACTCAGTCTTACCGCAAAAGTACCCATCTAAAAGTGAGCAACCATGTTAACTTTACCCTAATTCCATTCAATGCATTCATTTTTATCACTCCTCTTCCAGTAACACTACTCAGAACCATGACTCTGAACATATTAATTCAGAATTCTTCTATTTCCATATATGCTACAGAATCTGTTCTTTCTGAGCTCTTTGAGGAACTTTGCCCCAGGACTGGTCTGTGGTATCATAAATTCTGTCAAGGTTTACATAGAGGTATGGCACAAAGGATTTTCTGGTCGATATCTGCAGTTTTCATTGCTGAATTTTCCTCCTCCACACTTCTATTTCCAGAAAATCTTATTTGAGGAGTGAAACAACAGATTACAAGGCAAGAGATGGACTGGCCAGTACTGGACTCCAGCAGAATGAAAAAGTGAACGCTATTTTGGAAGCACACCAAGTTCTCTGGCCACTAAATAATACAATCCAACCAAGAAATACAAGTTTTCTTCGACTTTTATTGTTTTCCTGCCTTGCAGTGAGATGCACGGACCACACCAGCTGCAGCCCAACCTGAGCTGGTGTGAATGCAGTAACACAAGCAGGGCTCCACTGGCCAGGGCAGTGTCCGGCCCACCACCAGCACTGCATTATGAGCAGCTTCACTGCTATTCACCTGAAAGCTCAATTACAGTAAGCCCAGGTGCATCTAGCTACACGTGCTGCTGGCACACAGCTGTGTGCAACTGCAGTTAAAGCTATTTTAGCCACACTGAAGCAGACGGGTAGGTTTTGGTACATGTTTCGGCTGTTCATCTTCCCTTTTGCCATGTACTAACAGGTTCACTGGTGGGAGATATGCAGGCTGAACTGAAAAAGTATAAAATCCATAAACAAAGTCAAATTAAAGCCTTAAGAAAATCTAAACAAGCCAATGTATGCAAAAACAAAAGAGCATCTTTTTAGGCTTTAATGTCTCTGCTGAAACTAAAAGGAGTGGTTGGCTTCCTGCCTGCACAAGTGTCTTCCCCAGGATTTCTGCCATAAGAGCTTCAAAACAGAAATGCTGTCATGAAAAACACTTCTCTTACTCAGCAGACCAAAGTGGAGGAGCAATACAATGCTAAGCTTCGACAGTCAGTGTTGCACCCATGCTATCAATTAAAATAAAGTAGCAGTAATGCTAGGAAAAAGGCAATCTTAAATCCATCTTTTCCTTTCTAAGGAAAGACAGCTGAGGACTATGTGAGAAAATAGAACATGAACAAGCTGTAGTCAAAACCATTAACTGTCAGAAGGATGAGCAGTAAAAATATTTCAGAGTGAGAACTGAATGTCTGTAATAAATGCCAAAAATGAATTATAGTAGGAAAGAAAATTTCCTTGGGTTGTTTTTTGTTTCAGCTTGGTTTTTTGGTTGTTTGTTTTTTTTTTTTTTTTTTTTTAATGGAGGTACATACAAGTTTGTTAAAGGAAGGAATGGATCCCTGTTTATGCAGATAAAAATAAGAAAAATCCTTAGTACTGGAAGAATAAGGGAGAGCTAAATGATGGTACACTGCAGACAGGGACTACTGTTCACACAATATGCGGAAATAAACTTGCACCCTCTTCCCCACACAGAGAAATATATATCCTGATAAGTGGAGTGGTGTCAAATGCCACCATGTCCTTCAGATACTGATAGAGACAGCATTAAGGAGTTGAAACATATGCAGTGTTTCAGGGAGTTAAATAAGCCATCATTACACTAGACTTTGTGAATCATGTTGAATTTGATGACTGATTTCTTCAAAGATGTGATGACAGCTAGCCATGATCTAGACCAATACTACTGGAAATGAGCTGGATTTTTACCCTGAACCTGCTGAAAAATTTTGGATGCACCAAGTAATTCTAGTGAAGAATTGATTCTGAATCTCACTATTGTCCCCTATAGACTTCAGTCCACCTGAAAGGTTGAGACTGGGAGGCCAAGAAAACCTAGAGTGGAAGACAGAGTAAGGCAATGGGGAGATTAAAGCAACATCCAGGAGATTGGCAAGAGACTGAAATGCAGTGCAGGTCTGTTTCAGCCTGAATCCCGGAATGGCAGTCATGTGAGAAACTGGTGAGGGAAAGAGGGACTTGCTATGGCAGGGAGATTAAAGACATGAAAGCCTGGCTCTTAATAATGATCTTAAAATTGTCATACTATGTTCATTTTTGACATATTTTAAAACATCCAATTTGCAAAAATAGCCTAAAGCAAGCTCCAAATGACCCAGACTGCCTACCACTACACATGCACACACAGCATTGTGTCTCAGAGCTGCTGTACCCTGATCAGTACAGTGACACACCTTCTCTGTAGGCTAATTCATGGCAGCAATTAAACCTCTCTCTTTGGTATACATAGACACTCAGTATATCCCAGACAGTACTTTTACTTAACACATGCTAAATGGATAGGAGACTCATGAACACCTCTTTTGTTTTTGTGGCTCTGTTCTACCACAATGAATTTTTTTAATCTGCTCTGATTCAAAATCATCAGCCAAAATACTCACTCTTCCACTTTCAACGAGAGTTAAGAAAAACAGACCTTGAAAACATTTTACTTGCTTACAGCTCAATCCACAAAAGGATGTCAAAGTATCAGAAGTGATTTTTTAATCACTTGTAAGCATTGAATTGTCAAACTAATGTCTCTTTTGATACTTAACCATGCACATCACAAATAATAATGCAGCCCATTAACTTGTCTTAATGAAAGTTTCCAAGGAGATAGTTACTCACTGTAAACAATTTACCCAACAGTTTCTGCTGAAATGTGCACAATGGCTGCACAATCCACCAAGGTATTCTCTACTTTGTGCCTATTAAGTTTCATTCAATGAAATACAATTAAGCATACAATACAACACAAAACAGCAACAGAGGAGAGTTTGCAACATGTTTTTCAAGCTACCAAAATGGCAAGTAACTAGATATATACTTAGAATGATTCTTAATCTTACCTAGCAGCTTTGAACATATTCTAGATCTCACAATATGGGCTTAAAGAAATTCTTCACAAGAATATATGGCAAACAGTTCTCTTATAAAAGTCTTCACTATTTTTTGAACTACTAAATTACATTTGTAAAATGTAATATAAATATTTATATATATAAAGATATTAAAAGTTCTATTAACATAAAAATATAAAGTTCTATTAACATAGGGGACAGAATTTTCTAGATTAAATGTTTATGCTAGACTGCAAAATCTGTATTATATAGGTGGCAAAAGGGAATAATTTTCATTAGATTTGCAGGACTTCTGAAATCACAAAAATTTTATTTAGGTTTGTAAAAATTACTTACAGAATCTAATGTGTGTCAAATCTAATTCACAAAAATTTTTACTATATTTGGGATAATCTTAACATCTTGATTAAAATCCACTTTTATAAGGATATAATTATTTAATATGAAAGAGTGCTTTGAGAATTAGTTACTTAAAATGGTTTTGATTTACTGGTGGATGCTAAGGTGGATCTTATGATATAGATTTTTTTTTAAATTGTAATTTCTGTGTTTCTTTTGTTTCTGCCCTAAATATCCTGTGTTATGCTGCCTTTCCAATCATTCTTTATCCCCAAAACTCATGCACAGGGTTGCTGTCTTAAGACCAGTGGAAGTTCTTCTTCTATTATTTAATTTTTCTAATGACAAGCAAACAAGAGTGATGTGTATGCTTCCACCTTTATTACTCATTTTTCCCCTCTTTGAAAGTAAGACGATGATCCCTGATACGGTCATTTTGTATCTTCATTTCATTATTCCCACTGTAAATCAGAATCTTGTATCTGCTTAAAAGCTGACTAACACTGAGTGACCTACCATAATTTTTTCTGAAGGCTACAGTAGCCTTCAAGCTAACAAATCATACTAGTCAGTCTAAATTTTCTACTCGTTAAGTTTAACTATTTAACTCTTTTTTATATCCATTTGTGTCACACCACCAGTATTTTGGTATCCTATCATAGCCTGCTGCTAAGTTTGTTCAGCACTCCTCCACCTATTTAAGGAAAAAGGGTCTTTCACCTGAAATACCCAGTAAAGGTATTTAATGTTTTCCCTGTATTTCCTTTGTTTTGGTGTTTCTTAATTCTTAAAGGCTGTCCAAGTTGTGGACATATAATAGCTGCTAGGAAGGGTCACATTGTTTGTTATCTCTTGATGAAAAAAGTTATTAACCATGTCTTGAGTTATTCAAAACCTAGCAACAGATCCCACAGCAATAAGGAACTATGCTCACACAGCACAGATAATGGGAAATTATGAGCTGTGCTGGTTCATCTTCATTCAAGGATTACATACCTGTAATATCCCAGAGTGGCTTAGAGCTGCATTGGTCTCACTTGGAAAGGATATCATATGATCTGGAAAAAAGCTCTGTAACAACAAGAACTTGTATCAAAGTTTGTAGAAATGAATACAAAACTTTCTCTTTTGAATGTGTAATTTAAGTTCTCAGAGCAGTGCAAGACACTGAAGATTCCCTGATCCAATAATTTAAGCTTACCTTAATATCATCCCAAAATTTGGCACATGCTATATATTATTTGCTGAAAAACACAGAATTTTGAGAAAACATCAATAGTCTCTGGAGCAGGGTTTCAGACACCAGTGCAAATCGCATTGCAATATTTGGCCCTTAGTGTTGTTTTTCTAGCAGTAATTTCTATTGCTGTTGACACACGAGACTTGCCTGGGGAGTCAATATGCTACAAAGTAAGGAGGCTATACACCAACATGCTGAGAAGTGTACTGTTTTCTATTGTTTTCATTATACTAGAAACCCAGTAAAATATTTTGGAATATCTTCCGCTAACACAGAAAGGTTGTCTCAGGGTTTTTTTTAATCTTCTATTATTATACAAATTAACAAAAAAAATCTGACTACATAAACAGGACGGGGTTAAAAGTCTACAACTAAAATGCCGGTTTCATTATCAAGGAAAGCTCAAGGGATAATTTATGGGACAGACCTACAGCTGGGGTGTTCAACACAGTCATGCAGATATGAACCAAACAAGGGTTCGACCATCACAAATAATGTTTCCTCAAGGCCTGGACAAATTTTTAAGTTAATATTCCCTTGGCCACCTAATGTCCAGCAATTTCCATTTTTAATGAAATTGAACTTCTGGGAGGGTTAATTCATATTAATTCATTGTGATAAAGCATTCTTGCTACAGCTGGGACCAGAACACCCAGAAGAACTCTGCTTAGCTATAGCTGCTGAAGCTGGTGTAGCTGCAGGTCCGACACGCTCCACAGCCGGCTCCACTCACTGGTTAAACAATACATAAACTTCATTTTTGGAGGCAACAGACAGAAACTGATGCATAGGAAGTCCCCCCTGAATATGACGAAGAACTTATTTACTATGTGGGTGGTCACATATTAGAACAGATTGCCAAGAAAGGTTGTGGAATCTCTCTCACTGGAGATATTCAAGAACCCTCTGGATGCAATCCTGTGCCATGTGCTCTGGGATGACTGCTTGAGCAGGAAGGTTGACCCATTCTGTGATTCTGTGAAAGCTTCTTTACTAACTGCAGACCATCTCAAGCTGAAAAATTTTTCACTGGTGTGGTGATATCTCCATATCTGGGACAAATCTATCGTGATTTGTCCGGAGACACACAGGTCAATCAAACAAAAAAACTCCCAAAACTCTTCTATTTCTTGTTACCTTTACATTTACCTTTTTATCTTTTTCATAGATAATCTGAGTTCCCTTTCACTTTTTATCTTTTATCTAAGCCCCCACACAGTTCTGCTATTTCTCCCTTTTACATCTGAAAGAAGCTGGTTTTATAAGAGACAGCATCAGGAGATGTCCAAATACACCATGGAGCAACCAGATGGTAAGTTCCTTCTGCTGAGCCAGGACTGCTTCCATGGCCTTTGCCATCAGCCAAGGTCTGAATCAGCAGCATTAACCTTTGGCAACATCCCTGAGTTACAAGATATCTCTGCTCTCTTTCCACTCCTTATGAATGCTAACTTTGGCTTCACTTTCACTCACCCCTAATAGGTTATGGCTGCTCATGGCCTTTTGCGTCAGTTGTCATTCAGCTACAGCTGGGAGAAGCTGCAATTTGGCAGTGCTGGGCCAGAACATTCAATTTTCACTTCACAATAATATCATCTTTCTTACAGGTGCCCCGCCCCACACTGCTTCATTTTATATTATGTTGTCACTTGATGAAATGTTCACTGAGTTGCAAAAATTTAATTTTGTTTTATGTCCGTGTGCAAATTTCAATACAATTAAACACAATTGCTGCTCCCATCACTCCCAAACATAAAAAATTAACATGGATGTTTTACAACTGTAAGAAAGGGACCAGCCAATGATCATGCACTACAATACATTGCTGTATTTCACATATTCCCTCTTGATTATTCCTTTTGACTCCTGTTACACTAAAAAATTTAAACTCTGACTATCTGTGTGCACCAAAAAAGACTGTTTTGTTTAGAAACAGTAACTGCACCACTTTACAGATATAATGTTAGGACTTACCAGTGGATTTTTAAAAAACTCATACTTTGCATAATTTTTTCTAAAATACAGTTTGGTTTCCTCTTCCATTACCCAATTTGACTGGACTTCCATCACTAATTCATGGTCTTCTATAGCTCTTCCTATAAGAAAACAAACAAACAAAAAAATTAAAGAAAATGCAAAAGCAAAAATCAAGCTCATGACTATCAGAAGACAAAGAACTCTCATGACCTACAGATAAAGCAGAGCAAAGTTAAACTTCCATTTAATTTAACTCGCTCTTCATTGAATTTAACTGATTCTTGAGTCCAAAAAGACAGAGATTAAGGATGCTGTATGAAAATCCCATTTTGTAATCAGATTAAATGAAGCAAATAAAACCATAAAGAAATTCAGAAAAAAAAATATACCCAAAAATAGTGAAAGGAAAGTAAGCATTTTGAAATCTTTTACAGGTTGTTCTACGCCAAAACACATTCTTCAGATGCAAGGGCAAAGAACTGAAGCTCTGAGTTAAAACCAGCATTTTTTCCTTCAGTTTTATAGAGAGAAAGTGCTCCTCTGAGATGACATTTAAAACTCTTAAATGCTTGGCATTGTGACATTTAAGAAAACACCATTTCCTCAAGACTTACTTCTTGGTAGAAAAATATGACATTGTGCATCACCCCAAAGGATGGGTAAAGGTGCTGATATTTCTTTATTTTTAAGGTGTCACAGCAAAAAATATTTTATAACTGAGTAAACTTACTTTTTTGAAGAACTGAAACACTGAGTGCCCTCCAAAAAACAGTCCTGTAATCAAAACCCTAAATGGTGACATGAAAAAGCTGCCTTTTAGATTAGGTAGAACATTTTTGTCTTCCAACTAGACTGGAGAGTTTCCACCTCCCTTTCTATCATCTCTTTATTACTGCTATCTCTAACATGAGGAGCACCTGCTACAGTCCACAACAGCCTCCTTAACTATGGAAAGTATTTAATGCACATGAAACATTTAATATTGGAGTACATGACAGAACACATTTCAAAAAGCCTCTTCTCCAGCCACCCAGTGGAGAAAAAAATTCAACTAAATGAAAAAAAGAAAGACATTGCTCAGCACTATTGCACAGGTAGTGCTTTATGAGCCTTCCCAGCCTTCACAGACTACCTGAAAGAATGCAGAGTGAAATCAAAATGTGACTGAAAGATACTGATGTGCCTGGCCAAGGCACTGCCCTCTATTCAAAAGAGGAGCCCTAGAATATGTGTGTTCAGCTGCAGAAGCAAACAGAAAACTGTTTACAGCCAGCAGAAAAATTTCTCAGTATACAAGGAAAAATTTCTGGATGAAGATAGCACTTGCCTTACAAATGAGAGCAGTTACGGATATCTGTTCTGTTTTCAGAGCCTGCCCTGCTCAGGGGAATTGCAGTGGCAGTATGGGACTCCCAGCACCAAGGTATTCAGTGGTAGGGATGGCATGGCATCATCCAAATTTAGGCACACTTCAGCTGCTTTCAATGATCTTAGACATTGTGAAAACCATTCAAGTTAAAAAAACACATACCAGTTAAAAGAACACATACCAGAAAGACACAGTTTTGAAATATATCGATTTATAGAGCTGCAAGAATTGCTGAACTCCAGGTATTTGAAGTAGAACTCATGCTATGCAAAACTTGGGAGGTAGGGAGGAAAGCTGAGCTTCCTGGCTGCCGAGCCAGCAGCAGTGAGGACACAACCATCCTTAGTGCTCAACAATAGAGCTCTGCACCCAAGGGCATATATGTTTGTGACAACTGAAATATAGAGACCGTGGGTTTATGCTTTGCTTTAGGTGGGAGTTTTGTTTGGATTTTTTTCCTTTTTAAACCTTCTCAGCAGATACCTCCACACAGCAATGAAGGCACAATCCAGCGATGTAATTAATGTCTGTCTTGATTAAAGTAGAACACTGTGCTCAGCTCACTAAGATTCATGCAATTACATCTAATTCAGGACTATTCAGACTGCTGTTAGATTTTAAAGAAAATGTTCACTAATTGATGGATGAATTATTAATCCATGTAATCCTGGAGTTTACATAGACACACACATTTGCTCACAGCACTTCTCCTTTCAATATCTATTCACCTAACTTATGAGATAAAAAACACTTTCCAAATTCACATGGGTAAAACATACAACAGTAACAAACAGAAAACAATCCCAAACTAACTCATCATTTGAAAAGTATTTGTTCAAACTACTCTTCCAGTGTTTAAGAATATACTTAAAGCAATTCAAGATGAATATGTTAACTCTTTCTAACAAAACCAGATCTAAACCAGCATCATTAAAATAACTCCATTATCATTCAGTACTCTAAAAATACATAGGGGGTATCTCAAATTGTTCCTTTCCTTGGCCAGTAATGTTGTATTGCCAACCTCATCATCTAGGAAATTATTTTACTTTTAAAATTAAGCATTCACCTTTTTCTAGAACTACACTGCAAGCAGCCAGAGCCATTGTAAGACTGCATGGTGAATGAAGGTCTTCAGCAACTTCGAGAATATCAGAATATTAGGAAAATTGATTTCACTAATTATCTGATATTGAAATCTTCCAGGAAATCCTCCAGATTGAAGAAAACACACTACTTGTTAAAAAGTGTACTGTGCAAATACAGAAAGCTGGAGAAACAGTGCCACTGTTGTTCTGGCATGGTTGCTCAAAGGCATCTTCTTCAATACTTACTACACTACTTAAACACCAGCTACACTGCAAAATACAGAAAACACTTCTGCAGTTTGTATACTACTGTTTTCTAAAGCCATTTTTCTATCTCTTCTTCTATACCAGTCATTTTCAATCTCAACCCAGATTTAACTCTGACCTTCCTCTGAGCTGGAAGCATCTTACAGCTGATATATTCAGTGCAAAAGGTTACCAATATCTTTGAAATTTTACAAAGCAAGAAAAGAAATTTGAAAAACATTTGTGTCTGCCTTCATAGGATAAAGGACTATAAAAGGGCAGAAAATAGTTTTAGCCTTTGTAGTTCATCCTTAAAATACAGCTGATAAACATAATTGAGTCAGAGATGCACAGTCAAGTTTATTTTCAATAAATGCACAGGGCCGGATCTCCTAGATACATCCAGAGGAAGAAAGGGACTCTAACAATAGCTTTAGCCATATTTCAATATCTGGGAGGGAAGGAGGGAGGGAGGGAGTGGCCAGGGAGAATGTTTGTGGGGGTGTTTGATTTTTGTTCGTGCTGTGTACATTTTTTTTTCAATCAACAGAACTGGAGTTACCAGGTACCAGTACAGTCCCTTTTGAGAATTAAGAATTCCATGGAGTTTTCTATGTATTTTAGAATGCAGGAAGGCATCCAGAACATCCTCTTTTTCCAGCCACACTTTGCACGAGCAGATGGAACTGGCCTTGAAGTTGCAGAAGTACTACCTTTTTTAGCTCTAGTACAGTGCCAAAGTTCAAGAATAACATGAAAATTTTGAGCGATGTGAAATTATAACCATATTTCTTTGGCATTTATCTTCTAGTAGATTTTTTCTAACATAATTTCTTATCAAAAGCATACACAGCACAGTACTGAAACACTGTGCTGTAAAAGCAAGTACGATTGTCTAACTTGAGATTCAGTTAATATCACATTCCAGCAGTGGGTTTCTAAACTCCTCTCTTGCTAAGGAAAGTCTTTGCTGTATTCTGCATTTTTTACATCTCTGCAAACATCCCCTTTCTCCCTACAATTAATATTCCTTATGTTTTTTATAGTGCAAAAGTACACCTATACACTTCAAAAAGGAACAGAAATCAGACATTATATTTTGAAACCACAGATTACACATTTTGAACTGTACAATAGAAAAAGAGAAGTTTTACTACACTAGAGGATCACTGACAATGTGAAAGAACTTTAGAACATCTTGTTACCAGCAAGTTAAAATACTACACATGGCATTGCTTCAATACAGTTCACTGGTCCTACGTGGAAGTTTGGAAGAATGGTTTTGTTTTCCTTTTAAAGTAGCACTGTCCCAGAGTTCACCATAAATCTAGCCAAACTGAATGTAGTGAAGGAAAACACTGACAGCCCACTCTGATATTATTTCTGAAAACCGAGTCCTATAGTAAAGATAAAATAGCACTGCGTAACCTCTTTCAGTCCCTGATGTCCGATATTTCACTCAGGTGTGCTAGGAACAAACAGGATTTTATTTCCAGTGAAAATAACCCAAGTCTTTCTAGAGATAAGCAGCAAACACCACCCATAAGAGAGAAAGAACTGCCAGATAAAAACAAGGTAGAGCAAGGAAGAATTTGCAGTGAGAACTTTAATTGTTAGTGTCTTCCAAACTGTTCTTACAGATGCAGATGAAGCAGTGCGAAGCAAATGTACCATGAAAAAAAATCTAGTTTATACCTATGCTTTCAAAAATAATCAGAAGCAACAACCCCAAAAATTAAAAATTCAGAAGAAACTTCCCATCATTTTGCTTCCAAGCCTTTCTAATAGAATCATACTTCCATGTGAAAATGAAAACCAAACACCTTATTTAACATCATATCTTTATATATTATTAGTCTTACCTAAACCTGTGTGGGTAAGTTGTTCAAAGAGAGTCCAGCTGTGGTCATCAACATAGTGATTCTTCAATATCAAGAGCTGACACACATCCCTGGCTGTTATATCACTTGGTACTTCCAAAGCTCTGCTAGTATCATCTTCACTATACACTTTGATTACCTGCAATAAATAAAAAGTCTAAAATATCCATAAATTTAATCTTTGCTTCAGTTATTCCACATATGTTGCTCTCTCAGCTCCTCATGACTGAGACAGGAACCCACACACACATAGTGCAACATGAAAGACAGCCATTCCTCTCTAGTGCAATGGCATCATTAGGAACAGAGCAGCCAAGAAAAGCATATTTTGCTACTAAATTGGGCCACTGGATATCCCTTGCCACAGGAGACTGGCCAGATTGGTGCATTAGCTTCAAAAAAAACCCATTAATGGAGAGATAAATAAATGCAGCAAAACTGTACATTCTTAAGTAAGCTGAAAAACAAACCACACAGCATAAACAGTGAAACTCAAGAATTCTATGACTGCAGAACTGTAGAAAGATTTCATAAAGGGGTTAGTTCAGAGAATGGCAATCAGACTCAAGATGCTCACAGTTCTGTAGACAATAAAACAGGAGATATTACATACTGGCTTCAAATTTTGACAAGTAAGAACTGGAATTCTTGCACACACATCCTCAGTTTAAAGGGTGCCCAAGATGCTTTTAACTGATAAAATACTCCCCTCAGTTTATTGAATTTATCCATATTCATGAAAAAGCAAGACAAAACTCTCCTGAAATTTATGCACAAAACCTAAATACCATTGTAAATCCCTCATTTAACAGTAAGATACAAGTTCTCACTTTAAAGACAAACAAGCCTGTTACTGTCAGTCATTCTTAACAGCTGCCTTACCGAATACACGCTCATTTCCAGCATCTAATAAACAAGCAGCAATGTATTGTGCTCCAACTTGTCAAGGCAGCTCCCTCTCTGATTTGTGCTGAAGTTGGTAGGAAAGTGAGCAGGAAACTCCAACTGTATCTCCTGCCACCTGCATCTTCCCACCAAGAGAAAAAAATCCAAAAATAATTTTTAAAAAACCCAGGTTCTCTCACTAATGTTTTCCAAACATCAGATCAAGGAAAAAGGACTTCATTTGTAAACAACGATGAGATTTTAAAGCACACTAATGGCCTTACTCCTCTACAAAAACCTGTTTTTTCAGTGGAACTAAAGAGATACAGAAATTTGGTTCCAAACTTTGGCCTTGCACATCAAATGAGTACAAAGTCTATGATAATTTGCTTTAGTATTGCACCTAATCAGTGCTGGCAGGTCAAGAGTTCCACACAATACTCAGCCACCCTTGCCACAACACCAATCTTCAGGATATAGCAAGCATTAAATTCATGCTCCTAAAGTGCTGAAAAACCTCTCCCTACTCATGAATCATGCACCTCAAAGCTGAGACATTCCAGGGAAATAGCAGCCCTTAGAGACAGAAGTTCTAATGTTTCCACAGGCCTAAGCTGCATCCCAGTATTTCCATTTAATCCAAAAGGCAAAAAGACCACATTGCTACTGAATTTAATACTGCCAAAGCAGGCATGGGGGATGGCTGTGGTTGGTTTTGTAAGATGTCTATGCTTTGGCAGCGTTCCCACTGCTAAGCAGGAGAAACCAGCAGCAATGCAGCCTGCTTGCAGCAGAGACTGGCTCCACATACACAAAGTCCTACTCCAGTCACACAGAAATTATGTTTGGCCATTCACAATAAACCAGCATGAATTATTTAAATTCCTGCAATATTTACAATGATTCAAAGAAGAAATCAAAAGATGTGTCTGGCAGGTGCACTGTGAATGGAATGGAGGACTGTAGGGGTGACTAGAGGAAACAGTGTCCCATCACCTTAATAGAGGTCCTACTCTGGGCAGCACTGAAGGTCACGGACAGCTTCATTAGTCTGTCCACCAAGTCTATGTCAGGCTGAACCTAAAGGATTTTACAGGCTGAAATGCCAGAAAGGAGAGAGACAGTAGAGAAGGTGAAAGCAAAGGTAAGAATTTAAGTAACTTTCCAAGCATTGACAATTGTTCTAAGTCCCTTCCAGCTGAAATATTCTATTCTGTTTCCTAATATTCTCGCAATAAAGCCAGGGTGGGAATCCATGTGAGCAGGCTGGCTAGGGACTCTATGGCACAGAGCAGCAACTGCAGTTTTCCCCAGGCACTCATCAAGTTCAGTGATATGCTTATTTTACAGCAAGAGCACGTACAGCCCATGCTGAGGCTCTTGACGGATATTTTAACAGAAATTCTTTTTAAAAGGGTTAAGAGTCGCAGTGCAGATGACTTCACTCTTATTGCTAGAGAAACGGAAAAAGAGTTTTTAAAATGCTGGAGACAGCAACACAAGTCATGATAATGAGCTGCCTGTGGCCATTCAGCTCAGGGAGTGGGAAGCCTTGGAGGTGGCCTTGGACTACTGGAGCTCAGCTAAAGCAAAACAAAACAACAAAAAAAAAACAATGAGAAAAAAACCCAGTTTATATTCTCTGTGAGTATTCTCACTCAGTTTTCTCAGTATAGGGAAACAAATCCTGCTCAAGTCTAGGAGAACTCATCACCCCAGCTCACGGCTATGATGGGGTACCATATCAAACACAAATGCTGCGACCTTTTTCTCCTCCTTGCAAGGGATTTGGATGCAGCAGGAGACAAGAGTCACCTAATAAGACTCTCATCAACTTCTGTCACATATTTTGCTTAACAAATTGGTGTAAATCTCATCACTTAGAGTGATCTTTGAGGGTTTTTTAATTAGAAGTTGCTCAATATGCACTTGGTGCTGTGTTTGAAGCAAAGTCTCCTGTAAGATTGCTGGGAATATACCTATTCCAAGAGGAGCAGATCAGATGAAAAAGGATAAATTCAAAATCCCATTCTTCCTTGGAAATATCTTGTGATACTTCTCTTCCTAGAAGCAGAGGATGCTTTGAGAATTAAAGGGTGACAGAGTAATGCTAAAGATGCAGCTATGCTGACTTCCTATAGAAATGAGTAAGCTTGAATGATCACTTTACTTTTATTAGCGGCTCTCACCGCGTATTTGACTGGCCAGTCATCTCCACTTTCTTCCATTTTTTTTCCCCTGAAAAATTTGTCTGAGAAGTAGCACACAAGAAAAGAGCTGCTAATTGAGAACAAGCTCTCATTACAGTTTTCATTATCCTACACTCTCAAACTTCGCTCCAAAGCAAGCTGTTTCACTTCCCTTGACTATACCTATTAGTAGGCAGAAAAACTTGTCTCAGCAGCACTGAAATCTTCTTTCCGGTCTAGTTTATAAATACAAGGAGATGTTAGTTCTTCCCAAGGCTAGAAAAAGAAACACCTCAATAGCTTCTATTTAAGTCACTGGACGTAAGAAATAAGCAGCTCCAAGATTTTCCTATAAGAGGAAAACACCAAGCTCAGCATGACAAGCATTAATCGTTTTCACTACCTATGGGAGCAGGCAAGGAGTTACAGCATTCCTACATGTTCTCTTTCAGTTTTCAATATACTAAAAATCAGCCAAGATCCCAGAATTATGTGCAATGCATCTTTATCCCTCCAAAAATTATTTTTATAAGAAATGTTGCTTCAAAATTAAATATATTATTTTTTATATTTCACTAATCACACGAACTCAGAATGTAAAATAAATGTTGAAAAATATAATCAAATATTTAACAAAGGAATAGAAAGAATACCCTAGTTTTTACACTAAAAAGTCACCAGAAGAAGCAAAAAACCAGCAATTGTATAAAAGAATAAGTAAAAGAGCACATAAGGTAAGCAGTGTGGGAGGAGGGAGGAGCAAGAGAAGCGAAGCTGGACTCTACTCCCCCGAGTCTTCTTCCCCACTCAACCGTCATCTCCACTACAATAATTAAATAATGTGTTCATAGACTTTTAAGAGAGGGTGTCCAAGTCTGATTCTTCAGAATCTTCATGCCATCTGTTTCGGAAGTTCCAATCTGCAGAAACAGCACAAACATATGCCCTGCACTGAGGAATTTAAAATTTCAAACCAAAGTCCTAACGTGTGAAAAAAGCCAGGTAGAACCCACAGAAAAAGAACCACTAGCACACAGATTCCATATTTAGGTGCCTACACCAATATGTCCTGACATTTATATGATTCTTAATGCTTCTGTATAGCCACTGACACAGTGGGTAGTCAGAACCTTAAAAAAAAAACAACAGGCCACTTTTATTTATAAAGATAAAAGCCCCTAACTTCAGCTTATGATTTCTAAAATTATTTCCCCCAAATAAAACACTGCACATTTTTGTAATTACATTATAATTTCTGTCACATTTCTGTTAAATACAGAATTATTGTATGCAAAACCAGGCTTTGAAAAATCTTACACTCCAGGGTGTCACATATTTCTAAAATGCTGGCCTGATACTCTGCTAACCCCTCTCTATAGTTTAAAAATCAGGCTATTTGCCTGCAGCATTTGTTCTCCAACTCCCAACCCTTCTGCCTGCTAGACAAAATTTTTTGCTTATTGATATTGGCAAAGGGTAGAGGAATGTGTAGTGTATTTTAACTACAATGGAGGTGCTTGGAAGCTTCTAGCATTTTGAACTGGTTTATGACTTCTAGCAACAGTCTGTCTTGGTTTAGTAAGAGTCAGCAAAATTCTGCATTCATAAAAATATTTAAGAGGTTAAGTCACAACTGTTGTTAGAAACAAATAGCATATTAGTAAAGTTTACTGTCTTCTTTATCAGCTGTGAATGCAAGACTTTCCATTTAAATGTCCCAGTCTACAGTTAAAATGTCAGCTTCCAATATTTCCTCCAAAGGGAAGATTTCCAGGCCAAAAGGATTCCTGCAGTTTCCAGAAATCTACATCTGTCATTTAAACAAGGTGCATGCATTGTCTAATTGTACACATCTTGACTTCTCATTTGGAACATGGTATAGCTTCAAGAGGCAGAAGGAACACAGCTCCTATATTCTGTCTTGCAATGAAACCAAATTGCAAAGAAGGAAGAGCAAAGTCTAGGAAAACTGGTCTACCTCTCCTTCCACAACCTAGAAAAACTTTATACTTTTTCCATAATTTAACCTTTTTTAAAATGACATTTCAAAGAGCAAAAATAATGT